CCCACCTGGCAGCACACCCTTACCTTCAAACCCCTCCCCGCAGATTGTGCTGCTGGGAGTTTGCTGCTCGCGCGGCCCTGGAGGCGGCGGCGACGACTGCGAGGAGGTCACCCTGCAGCCGCTGCCACTCTACTCGGTGCCGGCAGACAATGTGACCATGGTCACGGTGTCATCCACCGCAGACGGGCGCATCTTTCTGGGCGGAGCCGGTGGGTGAAGAGTTTTGCAATGGGGGGGTGAATGGGGTGGGATGTAGCTGGGGCAAGGAAGCGTGCCTGAGGCCGGGCTGTCGTGAACGCTGCCGCCGCTGCAATCTGTTTTCTCCTGCACCGCAGACGGCCACCTCTACGAGCTGCAGTACTCCGCAGGCGACAGCTGGCGCAGCAAGCGCTGCCAGAAGGTGGCCCAATGTTGCTGCCATGGTCCTGGCATGCCACGTTAGCCTGCCAGACTTGTTCTGGGTGCAAGCCTGTGGCTGCCTCACCGCTGCCCCCATCTTGCTTGCAGGTGTGCCACACTGGCGGCCTGCGCCAGCTGCTGCCCTCGTTCCTCCCCTCCTTCCTGTTCGGCTCGCCCTCGGGTGCGAGCTGCCGCAGCGTTCGTCGCTGCTTTCGCCCACCTCGTGCTGTGCTGCCCCATCCTCTTCCATACGCTGGCCCATGTTATTGTCCTCGCCCCGCAGCCTTCTCCTGTGTTCACAGTCCTTGCTGTCCTGGCCCCCACACTGTGCAGCGCTCGTGGAGATATGCGTGGACAACCAGCGCCACTTCCTCTACACCCGTTCCCAGTCCAGCGTGCTGCAGGTGCGACAGTCGACGGGCTGCTGTCCATGAGCAAGATACATGTTGTTTCATGGATCCCGATTGTTCACCGGTCTGTGTGCTTGCCACCATGCTATCGTCCTCTCGCCCATGCCCTGCCTGCCCAATGTGTGCAGGTGTTTGATCTGGGCGCCGACGGCAAGGCCGCCCCCTCCAAGGCGGCAGAGAGCTCGGAGTTCCTGCACGACGCGGCGAGGGCACTGGGGGGGCGAGACGTGTTTGGGCGTGGAGGTGCGCTGCAGCGGCGCCGAAATGAGGCAGCGGACACATGCTGGCGTTGTCTTTGCCACCACTTGGTTTGTTCTCTGTTACAAGTTCGCGACACCGCTGCCCCCCCACCTGCACTGCCGCAGGCGGCGACCGCAAGGGTGCTGCCGTTGTGTACATGGCTCCCATCCCACCCAGCCAGTCCCACCGCCTGCACCTGCTGACAGTCACCGCCGATGGGCGGCGCGTGTATTGGGGTGCAGCTAGCTCGCGCTATGGGTCAGACCGTGAGTGGCCTGGCGGCCCCGGGTAGCAGGGGGGCGGCAAAGGTTGCACGGCAGCAGATGCTTGGGCGATGCGAGCAATATGCTCTCTGTTTTCGTCAACAGAGCAGTGCCACCTTCCTGACCTGCACCCTTCCGCTGCCTGCCTGCTCGTATGCAGCCGCGGGGCCGCGGCCCGACCGCCTGCGTGCCGAGGTCGCTCGCCAAGCCATGCCCTCGGCGGTTGCCGGCGGCGGCCGCATCGGCGCCGGCGGCACCCACGGCCCCGCGCGTGGCCTGGAGGTGGTGGCAGCCCATTACAGCAACGGCGTGCTGCTGCTGGCAGAGGCGGCGCCAGGCGAGAGCCGCACGCGCCTCTTCATGCTGAGCAGGTGAGGGCCCCCCTCATCTGGTGCTGCTCCTGCAAACAGGCAGACTTTGCCAAGCACCCACGTGAGTATTTCTCTCGTTTCCCGCCCACTGACATGCCGTTGGCCTGCCTGCCTGGCCTGTGTGCTGCTGCAGGGACCTGACCATCCCACCCGTGGGCACCGCCACTGGCACCCACGTCGCGGTGGCAGGGCTGCGCGAGGCGGTGAGCCAGCTGGAGGTGCACACGCCAGGGGAGGCCTGCGCTATCAGGTGGGGCATGGTTGTCGGTTTCCGATGCTGCTGGGATGTGCATTGGGCCGGGTTTGCTGTAGAGGCCAACCCCTATCACGATTTGTCAGGGCAGTTTGCATCCCTCCCCACGTCAAGGCACTCTCTGCACCGCCCTGTGCCACCCCTGCTCTGCCCTCACCACAGAAGCGTGCCGCGGCCGCCGCCATTGCTGCTGGGTGGCCTGCTGGAGGCGGTGGCAGTGCGGGATGAGCTCACCACGCAGAACCTGGGGCCCGCGCCGTGCTTTGTCATGGTCACAACGGCGGGCGTGCTGGAGATGGAGAAGATGCGGCCTGTGGATGTGCTGGCGCAGGTGGGAGCGGGTTCATGTGAAGCATGGGGTACTATGGGCATGTTGGTGGTGGCTCTCTGACATTGTGCGGCGGTGCCTGGTCCGCCCGATCATGTTGTGGTCTGGCAGCTAGCTGCTGCTACCCCAGGGCAGGCATAGCACCTCTTCCCTCTGCCCCGTCATTCCCTGCCTGCAGCTGCTGGAGCAGCGGGACGCCGCCAAACTGGAGGTGTTCTTCAAGAGCTACGGCTCCGGCGAGGCGGCCGCCATGTGCATCCTGCTGGCCACGGCGGGGCCGCCGCAGGTGTGTCCCTCAGCTTGTGCTTGATTTCTTGTTTGGAGAGTAGAATTACAGGGTTCCAAGATGGTCCCCTGCTGCCGCTGCCATCAGTCGGCCTGACTAGCTGCTTGGCTGCCCGCCCCCCCGCCTGCCCGCAGGCGTCTGCCTCCGTGGTGGCACAGGCAAAGGGTGCCCTAGACAACCCGAGGCTGTGCGGCGAACCGCAGCTGCGGGATGCCGCCGACGGCATGGCAGCCGCGCCTGCATTTGGCGCAGCCCCGGGGGCTAGTGCGGACGACGGGCTGGCATCAGGTGCGACCAGCTGGCAAGGCCCAGGTTCCTGGCTGCTGGCGGCTTGCACACCCCTGCCTTCCTGCTTGCCAAGTGCTGTGTACGATGCACGCTGCCGCTGCCCCTGTTGCCTGGCCCCTGCAGGCTTCGACATGGGAGCGGTGGTGCCTGTGGCGGAGCCCGAGTGGTCTGGCGCGCACCACGGCCTCTGCCTGTACGCCTCCCGCGTGCTGCAGGCGGTGTGGGATGAGCAGGTGGGTGGGGCTGGTGCCTGGGGAGGAGGGACATGAGGCCACTTCACCAGCGCTCACTTACCCAATCTCGACATGCATACTTTCCCACCTACCCCACCTACCCGCCCACCGCGCAGGTGGTGGTGCCCATGCGCAGCTCCCCGCAGCTGCTGAAGAGCAAGCTGTCGCCAGAAGCTCTGCAGTCGTTGGAAGACAAGCTGCGGGCACTGGATGCCTTCCTAGTCGACTACCTGCACCGGAGGAGGGGGCGGCGCCCAGTGGGCGGCGCGGGCACGGCCGCAGATGGCGGCGTGCTGCCGACCGCCAAGCGGCAGCGGCTGGAGGACGCGCAGCAGGCGGAGCTCAAGCGGTGAGCAGGGCGTGGGGCGTGTCAGCTGGGGGGCACCGAGCCAGCATCGGCCGGCAACCCGCAAAGCGAGGCGGTTTTCGGTTAGTCAATCAGCGGCCATGACCCTGCGCTGACATCGGCTTGCCCACCTGCTTGTCTTGCCTGCAGCACGGAGGGCGTGCGGGTGCTGGTGGCCCGCGCCGCGGAGGCCTGCTTCCTGCTGCGCGTGCTGTCGGAACACAATGTGGGCCGCCTGGCGGCGCGGCTGGAGGAGGGCGTGCGCTCGCAGCTGCGCTCACTGCGCTTCAGGTGCGGCTAAGTTTGTGGGGGTGGATCTTTCGGTGCGGTGCGGCGGCAATTGCTTGGCAGGGTGGCAATTCGCTGCCCCGCAGGAACTGCGCCAGGCGCCAGCTGAGCCTGGCTTGGCGGCCTCTTTGCACGATCAGCTGGCTGTGTCTGTTTGTGCCTGCGCTGTTGCCCATCTGCAGGGAGTGGGTTGCCAGCGAGGATGGCGATGGCGTGGCCACTCAGCTCATCTCAGTGCTGGTGGCGGAGCACCTGCTGTCCACGGGTGGGTGGGGGCAAATGATCTCGGCCGTTGGGTGCTGGAGAAGGGCAGAGGGGATTCCCTACACCAGTGCGGGGTTTGACTGGTCAGCAGGGCCAGCGGGGGCACGGCCTCCCCCCCACCCTCACTGGTCACCACCCACCTACCCGCACCTCTTGGCGTGCAGGCGGCGTAGCGGAGGACCTGGCTGCGGCGCTGCAGCGCGGCTGCGGCTCCTACTTCAAAGAGGACGACAAGCTGTACTACCAGGCCTGCGGCCTGCTGCAGCGTGCAGAGGCGGCCGCAGCCATGGGTGAGCTGGCGGGCGGCGAGACGGGCGGCGGCGGCCCCTGACCGCATGGCTGGTTCCTGGTTGCCTTGGCTTTGCTGTGTGGGTGGGAGGAGGCAAGCGCCTGTGCTGCGTGTTGTCTGCTGCTGTCTGCGTCATCGTCCCACCACCACCTCATTGCATGCAAGATTCTCCCTGCTCCTCCTCCGTTTATAGCCGACCGCGAGGTGCTGACGCGGGAGGCGGTCAGCCTGATGCTGCGCGTGCCGCTGGCCTGTGACCTGGGGCAGGTGGTGCCGCAGCTGGCCTACCTGCGTGCAGTGCAGGCCATTGTGGACCTGCCGCTGAGGGTGAGTCGTGCGTGTGTGGAAGGGGGGGCTGGTCTCAGTGTTCGGGGTCTGAAGCTGTCACGCTGCATGGCCATGCATGGCTTGTTGGGAGTTTTCTATGCGCTGATATGGCTGGCCGGCGCTGGCCGCCTGCCTGCCTGCCCGCAGAAGGCAGCAGCGCTTGACCCGCACAACGTCGCAGCGCAGCTTGGCCCCGAGGGCGAGGCGGCGGCGCAGCGGCGGGATGAGGCCTGCTACCAGCACACCATGGCCGTGTTGCGCCTGCTCATAGACCGCTCAGGTCGGTGGGGGCTGAGCGCACGGCGGTTTACTGGGACATGCAATGGCGGCAGCTAGAGATCTGCCCCATGCTGTGAGGTGGTGCCAATTGCTCAATCCCACCGCTTCCCTGCCATTCTTCCTCTCCCTTCTTCTTCCCTTGCCACTGCTCACCCTCGCGCCCGCTGTCGCCTGCCTGCGCTGCTGCAGCCGTCACTCCGGCATTGGAGGCGCTGGGGAAGAGCCTGAGCGACAGCGAGCGTGCTGCGTTCTGCACGCAGCTGCTAGCGCACGCGGCGGCGGCAGCCGACCCGCTGTTCCATGACGCCCTGTACGCAACGCTGGTGCAGCTCAAGTGAGTGCGGCAGGCGATGGTGGCGGCAGCGGCAGCATGTGTCAGAAGCAGCGTGGAGAGACTCGAGTGCCATTTTTGGCTCGCAGAGGCTGCAGGGCAAGGTGCACCTGGGGAAATCAGCGGCAGCCGAGACCGCCTCCACTGGCCTGCCTGCCATCACTACAGGGCTGTTAAGGAGCTGCTGTCCCTTGACACGCCCTACCTTGAGGCCTACCTGATTCGGGGCGGCGGCCTGCTGGGAGCGGCGCCAGGCGCCAGCGTTGGACCGTTGTCGGCAGGGCAGGTGGCGCACGTGGAGGTGCTGGCGCGCTTCTACATTTCCCGCCACGAGTATGCCAAGGCGGCTCAGGTGCGGGATGGGTGCGTGCCCTTCAGATGGCATAGCTTGTTTTCCCCAACGTGTTGGCGTTGTGGGTGGGCAGAGTCTGCTGCCTGCCTGCAGCACACTTTGCAACAGCGCCAGCTGCCTGCGTTGCAGGTGTATGAGCTGTTGGCAGATCGTGCAAGCGGGCCCGGCGAGCAGGCGGTGAGCCTGGAGCAGCGGGAGGAGCACTATCAAGCCGCGGTGCTGCAGGTGCGTGCGTGAAGTTACTGCTGGTGCCACTCCTTGTCAGTCCTGTCTACCGCAGTGTCTGCTGCTGCCAAAAGAGGCGCTGAGCTCAACAAAAGCTTGGCGGCCCCTTCATCTCATCCGTACACGACTACATCTGCATGTTGCTGACCTCTGTTGCCTGCCTCGCAGGCCAAGTCGTATGGCGACGCTGAGCTGCTGGACCGGCTGGAAAGCAAGGCCCGCATCTGCTCCCTGCAGCAACGCCTGGCCAACTGCCTGGCGGCCGCAGGTATGCGGGGCTGCGCAAGGGCATGCGTGCACCATGCGGTGCGAAAGGGCATGAACAATGTTGCACCCTGGCGCTTCCACCTTCCTGGCACACCGATTTGGCTGGCACATTGGCGCACACCGCCTCTGTCGCACAATGGCGGCTGCGTTTGCGCCCCCTGGGTTGCAGCTCGGTCAGCGCCGGATGAGGTGGCACGAGAGGAGGCGGAGGCGGCTGTGAGCGAGTTGCAGGCGGTGCCCAAGCCACTTGAGGCACTGTACAATGACTTTGCCATCCCCTCGCAGGTGGGCAGCTCCCCAGGCGGTGCAGTTGTCATGGTTGCATGCATCATACCTCTGGCATGCTCCCTCGTAGGCCTTGCAGCGGCCTACCTGGTGGTGCTCTGTGCCACTGTGCCTGGTGTTGCGAGACCGGGAGTGCTGTCTGCTCTGCTTACCACCCTGTCTTCCTGCCGCAGAACTGGCTGCTGTGTCTGGAGATGGTTCACCTGGCACACTTCAGCGACCGCACCTACGTGAGCCAGCTATGGGACCTGGCCCTCAAAGAGGTGGGCGCATACTGCCTCTGTTGGTGCATGTGTGTGGGGGGGGCACTCGAGCGAGCAGCAGGCTTTGCATGGCGGCGACTGTCAAGGAATGCCTGGAATTTGCTGTGCAGGTTTGGCTGCAGCAGTGGGCCGGTGGCAGCGGCGCAGCGGCAGCTGATGATGGCGGCGGCAGTGAGGAGCGACGGGCTGCAGCGGCGCTGGATGAGTGCTGCCGCTGCGTGGAGAATCTGGGAGAGCAGTTCTATCCAAACGACAACAGGTGGGCTGGAACAGGCGGGGCAATGGCCCAGTGGGCAGGTTCTTGTTTTTTGCCATGAACGTGTTGTCCCTTGACTCCTTGTCCCTGCTCCCTTCGCACTTCCTGGCCCCTGCAGCTTTCCGGCGGCCCACGTTCTGATGCGGCTAGAGCAGGCGGCGGCGGGCAGCTGGCCCTCGCACACCGGCGTCTTGCTGGACAGCGACAGGCTGCTGCGGGCCATGGTGAGCTTGGATTTGGGCACCCTGCCCACCTTTTTCTGGCCTGATGTTGCGCTTCCCGTTTGCTTGTCTGGCATAGCATGCCCCGTCTGCATGCTTGCTTTGACCCGAGCGCCTGCGTGCCTTGCAGGTCGGCGCCTGCAAGGGTTCCTATGATGCGGTGGTGAGGGTGTACGAGTCGCTGCTCAGGTGTGGCAGGCAGTCACATGGTGTGGCAGGGTCAGCGTGAGCTATGGCGACTTCTAATGCGAGCGCGGTGCAATGCGGCATGGCTGGACCGCCAAGCGAGGGCCGACTTACGCCGACCGTCTTGTGGTGATGTTTGGCCCTTCCCTCCGCCGCTGCTACGCCTGCTGCAGTGTCCGAGGCGGTGACGATGCTGGCGATGCACTACATGCACCCTCGCTGCGTCTACGCCTGCTGCGCTCGCTTGCAGCGCTCATCGCAGCCGCCAAGGTGCCAGCAGCACCTACTGCCTGCCAGAGCACAGCCAATTTTGCTTTGTCTTTTGAATGTTTTTTTGATGACTGCCTGCTTGCATCAATCCTTCACCGGCCCATCCTACTTGCACAGGACAAGCTGCTGGATCGTGCCCCTGGCGCTGCTTTTGGTGGCTACCGTGGCGGGCGTCGCGAGGCGGGGCTGCTGGCGGCGGCCTGCGAGGCATACGCTGGTGGGTGGGTATGAAGGATGGCGGGCTGAGCAGAACAGGCTAGCCCAGGCTAGCCCCTCTGCCCTGCCCCAACAGCGGTTGAGTGGTAGGGGTCTGCACTGTTGTGGTCCCCCCATTGTGCCACCCGCTGCTGCTGCCTTGCAGCCGAGGCGCGGCGTCTGCTGCCTGCGGCGGAGGCGGAGCAGCTGGCAGCGCAGTTTGATGCACTCCTGACGGCTCTGCAGCCGCTGGTGGGCGGCTTCCGCGCGATCGCCTACTGACGACGATGGTAGCCGCGCCCAACTTGGGCGGGCGCATAGTCCAGCCGGCAGTCAAGCTGTCGCACTCCATGTTATGGCCATAACAGCGTGGCCCAACCTTGGAACTCATTCTGAACTTTAATCATTCTGAACTTAAGCAAGCAGTAGATGATAGGGTGCATATGTAGACGCAACCGTTTATGACTACTACTACTTAGTCAACGGAAAATGGCCCCCCGTCGCTGCTGCCTGTCCCGCCGCGCGGCGCGCCGCGTACCTCCTGGGCCGCCCAAACGTGGTACGTGCATCCCCAGCGTTGTGTGCATTTCTCTGTCTATTCCAAGCGACAGGAGTCCTTTTGAGGCCGAGTTGCAGTTGCTGCGGTAAGAACAAGGCGCGCTGCAGGCAGGCCCCTGCCGTGCGCAGGGCGCCAGTTCATTTGTGAAGACTGTATCGTCAAGTGCCGCCAGCCCTTGCGATCATCGCGCTACCCCAACCACCTTTCAAGTGCGTTCAGCGTGACGCGTGCCACGTTTGTGGAAAAAGCGGGCCCGTGATCAGTCAGATTGGCACGCCGGAAGCCTGCATTGAGATTGTTCCACCGCTGCTGCCGCCACCGCTGCCGCCGCCGGCAGCAGCGCGCGTATTGTTTAAGGAGCGCCCTGCACAGCAGAAAATGAAACCTAGGGCCAGACCGGGCAAGCTTAGGTGCGCCACCAGGGACTTCTGTTGTCGCAGCTTTGCAGACAGGCGGCCATGTCTTGCCTCCTTTCTGCCACCCACACACTCCCCCTCCCCGGTGCCCCTCCATGCAGCGCCGCCGCCGGCGACCGGCGTCTGGTGTTACTCATTGCGCTTGCGGTCGTCACGGTTCTAGTTTTGCACGCGATATCGAAGTCGGAGTGAGTGAGCTGCAGGCGACGCCTGCCTCCTGCACACTCTGCTGCCTTGGGCGGACATGCCTGCTGCCTTGGGCGGACATGCTGGCGCATCTGCCGACAGGGAAGGGATGCAACGCACTGCGCGACAGCCTGACACAGGGCGGACTGGCCAGGTGTCCAGGCACCAGCACAGCAATCGACATGCCAACCACCAGCTCACCCCCGCACACAACTAGCAACGAGCCCCGTCCCCAGGTGCCTGCCCCTCTCCTGTTTGCAGAGCCGCGCTACATGGTGCAAGGGGCCGGGCAGCTCGTGCGCTTCGTAGTGGCAATGCGCAAAGCCGGCGGCAGAGCATGGAGCAGCAGCAGCTGGAGCAGCCACACGCCACAGCTCTGGCGGAACATGGGGAATATGAATGACATCGACGATGGCGAGCGGGATGGCCAAGTGCTGGATATGAAGCAGGTGGCAGCAGAGCAGGTGGAGGCTCTGGCTGCGGCGGAGCGCAGTTGGGGCGACGACACGGCAGGGGCCGACGCAGCAGCAGGGGATGGCTCTGAACTTGCTGCTGTCAATGCCAGCGGCAGCAACCAGCTGCGCGGGAACCTGCACCAGCTGTGGGGCACCGGGCCTTCGCCGTACCACGAAGCTCTGATCAAGTGCCAAGATCTGGCTTGTCTGACGATGGCGGCTCGCAAGCGCCGCTACCCGGGGCAGCGACTGTTCCCCACTTTCTTCATCGTGGGCTGGCAGGTGCGCGCACGCAATGAAACGTTGGGGCTGTCTGAGGGTACTGCTGCTGCTGCTGGCCCCTTGTGCTGGTGCTGGCCGAGCCCGGGTGCCTGCCCATCTGCCTGCAGAAAAGTGCGACCACGTCCCTCTATTGGCACTTGCGCGAACACCAACAAGTGCTGGCAGCGCACACCAAGGAGCCTGAGTTCTTTTCAGAGCAATGCAATTTCCGGCCCACAAGCTGCCCCCAGTTTTTGCAGCCCGAGTACATTCGTGGAGTGGGTGTTGTGTGCTGCATGTGCTCTGACCACTTTGACCAACGCGACGTGGCTAGGCAGAGACGTGCCAGTTTGGCATGCAACTGATCCAATGCTGCATAAGTACCCCTACAGGTGTTGCGGTTACCAGAGGTGCTGCTTGCTTTGCTTGTGTGGGCTTAAAGTCTGGTAAAGCAAGAACTAACTTGCAACATAGACTCCCCGCCGAAACGGGACGGGAACCGGGCGAAAGCAGAGAAAGCAATAAAACAAGGGTGGAGCAAGGCGACATGCAACGCAAGCAGCTGACAGGGCACGCATCGAAACGTGTGTATGACTGGCAAAGTGGCATGGCGCATTGGGGAGAAACGCAACGGTACGGGAGCATGGGCTGGCCAAATGGCAGTGCGGAACGCTAGGTCACTAGAAAAGCAGGGAAAGGCGCACTATGTATGCAATGAGGGCAGCCCCGGCTCGGGGCCGTTGAGAAAGCAGTGGGCGGGAGGGGGGAGGCCCCGGTGTGGGCGGGCCCCATCGAGGGGGGATGGGGCGCGCAAGCGGCC